CTCACCACGAGGAGGTTACTCTTCACGAGTGCCTACACTGCTGTGACATAGAGTGCCGTTATATGGAGCGCCGTGATATAGAGTGCCGTGATATACACTGCCGTGATATACAGTGCCGTGATATAGAGCGCCGTGATATAGAGTGCCGTGATATAGAGTGCCGTGATATAGAGCGCCGTGATATAGAGTGCTGTGATATAGAGCGCCGTGATATAGAACGCCGTGATATAGAGCGCCGTGATATAGAGTGCCGTGATATAGAGTGCTGTGATATAGAGCGCCGTGATATAGAACGCCGTGATATAGAGTGCCATGATAAAGAGTGCCGTGATATACACTGCCGTTATATAGAGCGCCGTGATATAGAGCGCCGTGATATAGAATGCCGTGATATTGAGTGCCAGGATATACGCTGCTGTGATATAAAGCGCCGTGATATAGAGTGCCGTGATATAGAGTGCCGTGATAAACACTGCTGTGATGTAGAGCGCCGTGATATACACTGCTGTGATGTAGAGTGCCGTTATATAGAGCGCCGTAATATACAGTGCTGTGATATAGAGCGCCGTGATATACACTGCTGTGACATAGAGTGCCGTTATATAGAGCGCCGTGATATACAGTGATGTGATATAGAGTGACGTTATATAGAGCACCGTGATATAGAGCGCCGTGATATAGAGCGCCGTGATATAGAGTGCCGTGATATAGAGTGCCGTGATATACACTGCTGTGATATAGAGTGCCGTGATATACACTGCTGTGATAAAGAGCACCGTGATATACACTGCTGTGATGTAGAATGCCGTGATATACACTGCTGTGAGTGAGTGAGTTTATGCTTTACGTCACATCGGCAATATTTCAGCCATATCGTGACGAGAAGTTATGCATGAAATATACATATATTTAAACTTTATAAAAATCGGTCATCGAAGGACAGTATGATAACTAGAATATCACAGATAAGATTTAAAACTAGTTGCGGAACATTTAAAAGCATTAAGTATTAAGGAACAACACAATATAAAAATGGGCTAGAGATCGTCAGTAACTAAATGGAGATCACCACACCAGGGACCATGGGGACTTACAGTACCTTTGCTTCCTGCATGGGCCCTGGCAGGATCTATATCACCCCTTCAGTCACTGGCGATAGTATACCAGTTAAGCCTTATAATAAAATGACAAAAATCCTACGTTTTAAAATTCTGGCATGCATAACAATACTTTGAATGATGTGGGACTTACATACCCTCTTAGGGGGACAATAATTTTACACTACTTTAACCCCCCTCGAGGGTACAGCCACCAACAATCTCAGTTATAAATAAGCACTACCAATATGTAAAATAATACATTTAACACATCAAAATTTATGGACAAGTTCTATTTCTTTTAAAAAGTTTAATATTAAATGAGAATGAACATCATTAAAAAGGTCCTTAAGTGTTTTGACACTGAAATATTTATCCCTTGTGATGGAAAAATCAATGCAGTCAAGCAGTACATGCTTGACCGTGATTCCTTCATTACAAGGGATACAAAACGGAGGATCCTCACCTTTTAACAAATACTCATTTGTATATCTAGAATGGCCAATACGACATCGTCGTATAATGACCTCTTCAAATCTGGACTGACAAACCCAAGTAGGTATAACCGATATTTGGTTTAATTTTATGTAATTTATTGATACCTACTTGGGTGTCCCACTTCTTTTGCATCAGATCACGAATATAAGATCTGATTACAGGTTTATAATCAGTGTATGGGATAAGAAGTGGTGTCACAGATTTGTTGAGTGCTGCTTTTGCTGCATCATCAGCCATTGTGTTGCCTCTAATGCCCACATGACTGGGCAACCAACAAAAGACGATGTCGTATTGGCCAGTAGCAAGTTCATTAAATAATTCAATAATTTTGATTAAAAGTGGATGTTGACATGATATATTATGGATAGCCTGCAGGCAAGAAAGAGAATCGGAAAATAGGATAAATTTATTATATTTTGACTGTTTACTGATATATTGTAAAGCTGTTAAAATGGCATTGGCCTCTGCTGTGAAAATAGAACTATTATGGGGTAACCTGGAGGAGATAGTCCTGGATCCAATGACAGTGGCGCTGGCAACAGCGCCATTATCCTTGGATCCATCAGTAAATATAGATTTGTAAGTATTGTATGTGTTTCTTAATTCATTATATTTTTGTTGATAAATAAGTTGGTTTGTTTCTGATTTTTTTAATTTAGTTAATGTCAGATCCACCTCTGGCTTTATTAACTGCCAAGGTGGAGAAGACAAAAGCTGCGTGGGGGCTATATCTTCAAGATTATTTTTAGCGGCTGAATATCAGATTGAAGTCTTATTCCAAGTGGGGGGAGAACCGATGATTTTTTATTATAGAGATTTTCATAAAAGGGGTTAAAAACACAGTCATATGCTGGATTCGAGTTATTAGAGCGTAATTTAGAGATATACTGTAAGGATAATTTAATTCGGCGTTGTTTAAGAGATGGCTCATCAGCCTCAACGTACAGACTGTGAATAGGAGAAGTTCGGAAAGATCCAATACATAGTCTTAGACCTTGATGATGGATAGTATCCAAAAGTTTAAGGTTGCTTTTGCAGGCTCCACCATAGACGATGGAGCCATAATCCAGTTTAGAGCGAATTAGTGCTCTGTATAATTGGAGTAGGGTTTTCTGACCCCATCCCCACTTGGAATTTGAAACAACTTTCAGTAGGTCAAGGGCCTTCATGCATTTATTTTTCAAATATTTTATGTGTGGTAAAAAGGTTAAATGGTGATCAAAAATAATACCTATACGAGTGCTATCTAAAACCAGATCAGGGTCTTTATGAGGTTTGTATTTCCTACAAAAATGTATACAATTTGTTTTCTATTTTGAAAACTTAAAACCATTTTCCAACGACCGTTTATTTATCTTAATTAGACACATTTGTAATTGTCTTTCGATAGTATGCATGTTTTTACCACGACATGAAATGTTAAAATCATCCATGAATAGAGATCCATCAATGGAATCATTTAAAACCTTAGAGAGGCTATTTATTTTAATACTTAACAATGTGACAGACAAAATACTGCCTTGTGGGACACCCTGATCCTGATTATAATGATCAGACAGGGTAGAACCCACGCGGACTTGAAATTGTCTGTCAGATAAAAACTTGGATATAAATTGAGGCAAACGGCCTCTCAACCCAAAGTCATGTAAATCCTTTAAAATACCGTGCTTCCATGTAGTGTCATATGCTTTTTCTAGATCGAAAAAGATAGACACTGCATGTTGCTTATTTACAATGGCATTCTTAACGAATGACTCAAGTCGAACTATTGGTCAATGGTACTGCGATTTTTACGAAATCAACATTGGATATTTGTGATTAAGTTATTGGATTCTAAGTACCAGGTTAATCTGTTATTGACCATGCGTTCCATGGTTTTGCAAACCCAACTAGTCAATGAAATTGGTCGATAATTGGAAGGACCAGTATGATCACGTCCAGGTTTAGGTATGGGAACAATTATAGCATCACGCCATGAAGAAGGAAATTCTCCTGACGTCCAGATTTTATCAAATATCATCAAGAGGGTTTCTAAACAGGATTGCGGTAAATGTTTTAAGAGTTGATAATGTATATTATCAGACCCTGTAGCAGTATCATGAGCTTGCCCAAGGGCAGTATTGAGCTCATGGATGGAGAAGATTTCATTGTAATCCTCCCCATTATCTGAATTAAAATTTATAGGTTTCTTTTCTTGCTGTGTTTGATATTTTTGGAATTTAGGGGCATATAGTTCGAGGAGGAAGAATGTTGAGCCAGAGTTTCACCAAGTTTATTTGCAATGTCAGAAGTATCGGTTAATAATTAATTCCCATTATTAAGGTGGTGGACACTAGATTTAGAACCCTTACCTTTAATTTTCTTAATCATGTTCAATACCTTAGATATCGGCGTACGTGAATTTATCTTGGAGACATAATTTTGCCAAGACTGACGCTTGTTTTGTTTAAATGTACGCCGTTCTTTAGCGTTTAATATTTTAAATTTATTTAAATTGTGGACCATAGGATGGTGACGGAAATATTGTTCAGCTTTTTTCCTTGCCTTCCTAGCTAGTTTGCAATCATTGCTGAACCATGGTTTACGTAAGTAAGGATTTGAAGAGGACTTCGGAATACATTCATCAGCTATTTTATTTAGTTTATCGGCAAAATCTTTTATAGGTTCAGAAACATCAAGAAAACCATCAGGTTTTATATGATTAGTGCAAAGGGCTTCATATAAAGCCCAGTTCGCCTTAGGAAAATTCCATCGTGTTGACGGAGAAACATCAGATGGTGTCACAGATTGTAAAATGGTCACTTCCACATAAGTCATCGTGGACTGACCATTCAAATTCCTGAAGTAAATAAGAATCTACAACTGACAGGTCGAGACAAGAGTAAGTGCCAGTTGCAGGATGTAGATATGTTGGAGTACCATCATTGAAAATACATAAATCATTATTTAAGAGAAAATCCTCAAGTATCTTTCCTTTAGTATTAGTGTCATTGCTACCCCAAAGAGGGTTATGGCCATTCAAATCTCCTATGAGAACACAGGGTTTAGGGAGATGGTCTGTGCCTGAAGATCGGACTGTCGCAGAGAATATGATGGTGGAATGTATAAAGAACACAATGTAAATACAACATTCAATGTGACACGGACTGCAACAGCCTGAAGAGGAGTATTTAGAGGAACAGGACTATGAATTACGCCCTGCCTCACCAAAACAGAAGATCCTCCAGTAGCCTTATCACCCGGAGGAGAAAAGCAGTGGTAGGAGTCATACTGTCTTAAATTAAAATTATCCGTTGATTTGAGGAAAGTTTCTTGAAGACAAAATGCTGATGGTTGTTAATCTTGAATTAATAGATGAAGGTCATTCAATTATTCCGAAGGCCTCTACAGTTCCATTGTAGTAAGTTAGTATAACAACTCATGGAGGTTCAATTGGAGATCGTGAGCGGGGGAAGGTCCTCTCCGTTGAATTGGCGGAGATGGAGTGACGTCCATATCTAGAGGTTCAAAGCTGTTATGAACCTCTACAGGGATTGTCAATGGGGACGGCACCTCTATGTGTTTGAGGGCCTTTAGTTCTTTTTTCTTTAATTGTTTCCTTTCTCTGTTTGTAAGATGTTTGGTTTTGTTTACTTGCTGTACTGTCTCGGGTTCAGTTTCAGGTTCACAGTTAGACTGTGACTCAGACTGTGCCTGAGTCACAGTCTGAGGCAGTATTAGCTGCTCAGGCTGAATCTCAGTCTGCGAGGCAGACGTGGAAGAATTCTTGCCGTCTCCAGAAATGGAATGTGTAAGTGTCTGATTGTCGGAAACCCAGCAGATGTCTGTCTGACATGCACTGTCTACTTTGCGGGATGGGGTGGAAACTGCAGCAGAGTAGGAGAATGAGGAAGGAGTTGTATGAGTTTGAGTTGGCAGTAATTGAATGGCATCGGAAAAAGAAATGTTATTCGTATATTTTATTTTGAGAATCTGTGATTGTTTCTGATAGATTGGACAAGATATAAAAGAGGAGAAGTGTTCACCATGGCAGTTTGCACAACTGATGTCTGCTGAGCAGTCAGTGCTGTCATGATGTTTACTGCAACGGAAGCACAGGTGATTTGTCACAGGACCTGGCCCCATGCCCAAACTTCTGACACTTGTAACAGCGGAGTGGATTAGGTATATAAACGTCCACTCCAATGTTGAAGTAACCGGCCTTGAGGGAAGAAGGTACTTTAGGAAGAGAAAATGTGAGAAGATAAGTTTTAGTGTGCACAACTCTGTCATGATCTTTCCTGGTGAATCTTTTCACACAGGTGACTCCTTGAGATTGAAGTTCTACAGCAATTTCCTCCTCGGACATGTAAGGAAGACATCTGGCACGATCTCGAATGACACCTCTGCATGAGTTCAGAGACTTGCGAGCAGAGACAGCAACTTCAGTTGGTCCAAAATGATGAGCATTAAGTAGGTTAATAGACTGTTGTCGCTTTGAGCATTCGACAAGCAGGGATCCGTTCCGGAGACGAGTGACATTCTTGACGTCTCCACAAATGCCTTCGAGAGCTTTTGAAACAACAAAAGGGTTGATTTTAAGTGGCACTCCATCAACTCCATCGACCACCAGAAAGCGGGGCCAGGAGTCAACATTAATTTGTGACGTACACTCATCATCAGAGGATGAATTAGTATCTATGTCTAAATGTCTTCTCTTATTTTTTCAACAAGAACCAGTGTATTGGTGGGTAGCCATGATAGAGAAAGGTGATTCAACATCCCTGCTCCCCACCAACCATCGAGTTTCAACAAGGACGATGCTGTAGTGGAAGCCGACTACAAGCATCAGGGCTACAGGGATGCTATACTCCAGCAAGAAGGACGCAGGTAGCTAAAAAATAGTCAGGCTGGTTCGGCCCATGACAATTATCTCCAGACAAATAGAACCTGGAGGTCAATTATGCCAGATTGGCCCATGAGCCACCGCCTTCAGGCTTTTGACTCATGCAATGTTATAGACATGCATTTGGAATGAATAATAAAGTCCATAAACAAGTAATAGAATATAAAGTAGTAACCATGCCAGGGCATGACATGACCAGCCGATTGATAGAACCGGGCCCATTCTACCACCCGTCTAGGCGAAGTAAGGGTCAAAGTAGTGTGTTGGGCGAAGGAACACTGTTCCTGGAACCAGTGCCCTCAACTACCAGACCCCGTCCTCCGCCGACACAGGGGCGCAACCCACGGCAAACAGGTTGCCCAATTTGGTCGCCTTTTACGACCAGCAATGGGGTGCTGTGGAAATATTCTGCCCCGGTTCCACACGGGGGAAGAGTGATTAGCGTTACCCAGCACTCACCACGAGGAGGTTACTCTTCACGAGTGCCTACACTGCTGTGACATAGAGTGCCGTTATATGGAGCGCCGTGATATAGAGTGCCGTGATATACACTGCTGTGATATAGAGTGCTGTGATATACAGTGCCGTGATATACAGTGCCGTGATATACAGTGCCGTTATATAGAGCGCCGTGATATACAGTGCTGTGATATAGAGCGCCGTGATAGACACTGCTGTGACATAGAGTGCCGTTATATAGAGCGCCGTGATATAGAGTGCCGTGATATACAGTGCTGTGATATAGAGCGCAGTGATATACACTGCTGTGATATAGAGTGACGTTATAAAGAGCGCCGTGACAGTGCCGTGATATACAGTGCCGTGATATACAGTGCTGTGATTTAGAGTGCCGTTATATAGAGCGCCGTGATATAGAGTGCCGTGATATACAGTGCTGTGATATAGAGCGCAGTGATATACACTGCTGTGATATAGAGGGACGTTATATAGAGCGCCGTGATATAGAGTGCCGTGATATACAGTGCTGTGATATAGAGTGACGTTATATAAAGCGCCGTGATATTGAGCGCCGTGATATACAGTGCCGTGATATGCACTGCTGTGATATAGAGTGCCGTGATATAGAGGGACGTTATATAGAGCGCCGTGATATAGAGTGCCGTGATATACAGTGCTGTGATATAGAGTGACGTTATATAAAGCGCCGTGATATTGAGCGCCGTGATATACAGTGCCGTGATATACAGTGCTGTGATATAGAGTGACGTTATATAAAGCGCCGTGATATAGAGCGCCGTGATATACACTGCTGTGATTTAGAGTGCCGTTATATAGAGCGCCGTGATATAGAGTGCCGTGATATACAGTGCTGTGATATAGAGCGCAGTGATATACACTGCTGTGATATAGAGGGACGTTATATAGAGCGCCGTGATATAGAGTGCCGTGATATACAGTGCTGTGATATAGAGTGACGTTATATAAAGCGCCGTGATATTGAGCGCCGTGATATACAGTGCCGTGATATGCACTGCTGTGATATAGAGTGCCGTGATATACAGTGCCGTTATATACAGTGCCGTTATATAGAGCGCCGTGATATACAGCGCTGTGATATAGAGCGCCGTGATATACACTGCTGTGACATAGAGTGCCGTTATATAGAGCGCCGTGATATAGAATGCCGTGATATACAGTGCCCGAAGTGATGCAGGTCTCAGACGTTTACTACTTCGGTTAAACCCAAGAGTACGGGTATGATGCTGACAAACCTAGAAACATAATCAGGCAATCGAAAACCGGGATTCGAACCCACACTCATAGGTTTCTGGCGTGCCCAAGGGACACGACTCTGCACAGCGAATCGCGGCGCCTTAGACGACTGCCCACCGATGTACATATGCCGAGACCTTAAGTTAATATCGTGTTAAACGATATGTCTTCTTCAGCAGTGGTTCACTTTACATAGTAAAATCAGTGAAGTGATATTAATAAGAACAACAAACTATTTCCATGAGCATAGACAAACAATCCTAATTGTATCATCCAACACTGAAACCTCCGAACATGAACACCACCACATACCATGTTAGACGATGAAACCATTTGGCCCCACAGAACACTTATCAAATCTAACGTCTAGAATAGGCATTCCGTGTCTCGCGAACAACGGATAATTCGATTATTCCCCAAGCCTTCGATGTTTGACAATATATTCACATAATCAGTACAAACTCAGGAGATATTTGTTTCTTTCAAACAAAGGTATCGACAGATTTATTTCATTGTTTGTGTCCGTATTTCATTAGCTGTAACATGAAACTATTCCGATAACGTACTCCTCGCCCGAATATCGACCCCGAGACCGTGAGCAAATATTTGCAATGTGCTGTGACAGCACGTGGAGGTCAGGCTGACCTAGCGCGAGAAATAGGTTGAAAAATTGGACAGCTCACGTGCTCTCGGACCCGTCACGTACAGCGTTTGGTGGTATATGGCTCGGAACAACGGAAGCCGTCGCGCCAGGAGAACCGAGGTAAAAGAACAGCTTAACTACTGGATCAGTTCAGAATTTTGTAAAAATCGCTGAAATTTTACAAGGTCAAGTTTAAATTGTACAAAATGAAGGAAATATGGTCAAATGTTTAAAAACAAACATATTATTAGAAATATTGATTGATTCATGGAACTATAACACTAAAATAGCATTATATCTTGATATCATAGTTAATCTGTCTTGCCGTGTAATATGCAAGAATCAGATTTTCTTTTACCTCTTTTCAATAGTATAATTAAAATGATACAATCACTGTTCGAACATCTACAGATTGCGGGATGACTACTTAATTCCAGTAGATGTAACTTGATATGTTTTATAACAAACAAGCCGAGGACACCTCTGTAAATGGGGATTTACCACATCAAGATAATATAAAAAATGCAATTATGTACAGTGTTATATACGTAACACAAAGACATTTATGTAATCTGCATTGTTCCCACTGTTTACTTATCTTTCCTATCTGTATTCTTTTTTTTTCTTCTGGTCCATCCATGTTTAGTACAAGCTGTAAATCAATGTTGTAAATATCTGGGAGCAGGTGTTGGACTTGGAGAACTTGTACCCAATCACATTCACTTTTTGTAAACAAAATATGTTTAAACCAAACACCTCTGTACCTAACAAGACGATGTACCAAAATCTACTAAGACTGCCTCCGTGGTCTTATGGCAGAGCGTCCACCCGAAGAGCGGAAGGTCCGGGGTTCGATCCCCGGCCGCATCATACCAAAAGACGTGAAAAGATGGAACTTGTTGTTACTCTGTCTGGCGCCCGGCATTAGGGGCTAAAACAAGGACTGGTCGTCAGTATACTTTGTCTGAGTGGGGTATTCATGTTAAACTGCGGCATGGTATCTCAGTGAGCTAGCGCTATAAAATCGGCATCAGTCCGGAGTAGTACAAGCAGACATACACACACGCTATGTAAGTGCAATAATCTTGGACGCGACGTTAAACCCAATTTCACCCCACCTCACCTCACCCCAAAATTTACTAAGAGTGAGTGAGTGAGTGAGTGAGTGAGGTTTAACGCCGCTTTAAACATCAGTCCCGCGTACTAATCCTTGAAAAGCTTAAGGTCAGTATTTGCTCTGAGGACCAATTGACAAATAGTTTCAAACGCTGAGGGCACTTTATGTCAATTACCTAAAGTCTATGAGATCATACGACGCTTTTAACGAACAAGGTTCCAGCAAGAGGTTCGATAGCACATTGTGCTATTGACGCCATACCAGCATTTGTAGTGAGAAGGGAGATTAGCGCCACGTTCAGCAGTGTGAGATTAATGTAGGAGTAAATCCCAACCTACCCCGGTCTATAAACAACCGCGTGTCCATGCCCTGACGTATTTTCCACTGTCCCACAACGGCCCTCACCTAGTCTGTGTGACCACTGGTCACTGCCCTCCCGCAGTGAGAACACATTCCACATGTAGCTGTCACAGATCAGTAACACGCAACCAGCTCGAAATAGGAGGATGAGGAGGAGTAGGAGGATGAGGAGGGGGACGAGGAGGAGGAGAGAGAGGGGGGCCTTGGTGGGGACAGAAGTCAGTTGCTTTCTCCCTGCATGTCAAAGCTGTATTTGGTGTTTACCAGAATTTAACTTCCATGAACAAATAAAAAAAAAGCCCCGATAAAATCAATTAAATTAGAGCCAATTAGATACTTGAAACACTTAAGACTTCACTTGATAGCGGCAAAATTTAGAACAGCTTGGTCTAATAAATTAAAACTGACAACCTAAGTAAAACTCGTAATTGTGCGCAGCTACGTGTATAATCAGCCATAACCAGCCCCGACATTGCAATACACAGAAAGACCTTTTATTATTAATATTTACTCGACTTATCATTAAAGACGTTGTGACTTAATAGCCCCTGTAGAATATATTCGGGGACTCTGCTCTGATATCAACACTGCGCATGTCTTGAACTCCAG